GATTATTTGGATAGCGTTGATAGGATTCAACACACAACATTTTTAKAGACGGAGATTGAAACGGTGGAAGAAAATCTTGAAGAAAATGAAATCTCTATGGGACTAAGCACGCCACCAAGTACTGATACCGAGAGCACTTACTCCCAATCCCAAGGAAAAAATCTAGAAAAATCTTCAAAAAGAATCTTCAAAATCGATGACTTCTTCTCTTGATTTATTGCGCAATTTGCTCTGATACCAATTAATAGTCCTCAAATATGATCAATCTTCAAACATCCATGGCAGATCTAGATTTTCTTATAAAAACACTTGGAAGGAGATTGAGTGGAAATGTCAAACTTGGTTAAACTCTATTATACATAAAATGATTTTACAATTGAGTTCATTTACCCTAATTGACACAAAGGACAAAGCTTTATATAGGATCAAAGTATTAATCCTTCTAGTCAAAGTCAAATTAACAATACAAAGTCAAACACGATGTTTATTTAAAACAATTATAGACAAAATTAACTTTTCAAGACGAATACAATTTAACACAGAAATTCAGTCTTAACAAGTTGGATTGAATCCCCCCCCCCCGACCTCAACCCCGGACACATTTTTTCGGTGTGTCTCCTTAAGGTATAATTTTCTTCCGCCGTAATGAGAACTTGACGCATTTTGCATTGTGACTTTCTTTTCCCGTTCATGAGAACCACAAAGTTTTAGTGATTCCAAATCCCGCCGCTAAATGCATTTTCCGACGGAATTTCCGACGGATTTGTATTTTCCGACGAATATGTCCGTCGGAAATCCGTCGTGCAATTTTATAATATGTTAGTAATTGTCCGGGTTAATTAGAAGTAATCTAAAATGGGATTAGATTTACCGACGGAAATTCCGTCGGTAAACTTTTTCTATTTTCTTCAAAAATATTAAACAATTTTTATTTCAAAAATAAAAATAGCATTTTGTCCGACGGATTTCCGACGGAAATTCCGTCGGTAATTATATTTTAATTTTTTTTCTAATTTAAAATATGAAAATATTTTTATTTTAATGGACGGAAATATTTACCGACGGAATTTTTTTAAATAAAACTTATATCTAATTATTTACCAACGGATTTTCCGCCAAAAATCCATCGGAAATTTAGCTGGTACAGGAAAAAAAACCAAAATATAAAATCCTAAAATATAAATATCCTATAATTAAATACAAATATACAATACACAAATATGTCATAAATACCTAATATGATTATCCGAACGAAATAATATACATATATAAATTCGATTGATGACGCTAGTTCATTAATGCACTAGATTAAATCTATTGCGGCGGGGTAGGCGGAAACTGTTGAGATTGTGTAAACCTCTTCATCATATCCATCATGTCCATGCTCTTTCTTTCGGATCTCATCTTCCCTGTTTCGGATCTCATTTTCCCTGTTTCGGATCTCTTCTCGGCGAAGAAGTTCCTCAACCTCCTTCTGTCGAATCTCATTTCGGCGRATAAGATCCTCAACYTCCTTCTGTCGGATCTCATCTCGAGTGCGCATTTCTTCAATTTGGGATTATAAGTTGTTAATTAACTACAAATACAATAAAACGTTAAAATTTCTAATAAGAAGTATAAATGAAATAAATAAACATCAAAGGATAAAAAGGTACATACATGACTATGTACGTTAGGCGATCCACTCGAGTTTGCTTGTGAGGATGTCCCGGTCAAGACCAAATTGGGATCTTCATTGTACCCGAACCCAAATAGACGGCCTTTCTTGGATCCCCCAACCGCCTCATTCCACAAGTCAGTATCAACTAGGGGATADRCYGAGGGATCCTCACCGTACTTTTCGGTGAGATTGTTTGAATAGGTATCCTGTGGTTTAAAAAAATACTACCAATCAATTTTGGCAACATAACGACTATAAATGGAACGTTTCCAACTAAAATAACCCTAACGTTTGCCCAACAAATGACAACCCAAACTATATATATATATATATATATATATATATATATTAACATTCTAACTTAAACAATCCTAACGTTTGCCCAACAAATGACAACCCAAACTATATATATATATATATATATATATATATTAACATTCTAACTTAAACAATCCCCCGGCCCCGGTCCCCGACGGGTACGGGGATTATCATCTCGTCCCCGGTCAAATTCTAGCAATCCCCGGTAAAAAGTATGCTTTAGTTTGATTATACCGGGGATCCCAGCCCGACCCCGGCCCCGTTTTGAGTAACATTCCCCGTCCCCGTCCCCGTCCCCGTCCCCGGTTTGAGTCTACCGGGGATCCCCGGCCCCGGGACCCGTTTTAGCGGGGAATCCTCGTCCCCGTTCGGGTCGGGTGAACCGAGTTCCCCACCGGGTCGGGGCAAATCACCATCCCTAGCTCCGGATGCAAGTTTCAATCAAAGAAACAAGATACGTTTTGTCGTCTTTGTTGTGATTCCAAATAAGCATGCACCGGCACGATAACAAGCCATAACTAAATGATGAGTTCCAAGCATACAGGGAAGAACCAACCATTGTTGGACGTGTACGATATTTGAAGCATGTTCGTGGATAGCATATTTTGGACAGCCTGTATGTACATTGTCTACACTACATTACAAAGCAAATTGTATGGTGGAGCTTCATGGTGATAAATCTATATTTCCAACAGCAAGTTCTCTATAATGAATTAAAGCAATCATGCATATTCCAGAGAGGAACTTGAGTCTAGCTATTTGTGCATCAAAAGCAATATATAAGATGCATTTATTAAAGACTTATCTAATCTATATGACAACAGGAAAGAAAAAGTTTAAGATGATTACAGGTCTGTTGGGCAGATGCAAGAGAGGGAAAATGGTAAAAAGAGAACTTAAACAGGGAAACTCTTGGTAAAAAGACTTATCTGTCTAGTTTTTTTTTTCTATATTTGAGCTGTTGTTTGTTCCACTTCTCTTAGAATTTTTTTCCTTGCCCAGAATCTCCTCAGACGTGAGCCTCTCAAGCTTGTGGATGGTGGTGAATCACAGAGAACCTTTGTTTATATCAAGGATGCTATTGAAGCTGTTCTTTTAATGATTGTAAGCTACTGCCTTATCTTTTTTCACACGTAATTTGGATAAATCTGTATCTGTAGCTAATTGACTAATGTTGGCATTCCTTTTAATTGTGTGCTTCTCAGGAAAACCCTGCCAGAGCTAATGGTCATATATTCAATGTGAGTAATCCTGATAATGAAGTTACAGTCAGACAACTTGCTGAAATGATGACTCAGGTGTGTAGCCTCTTTCTTTGCTAGTACTCACATCAGCTGCAGACAAACAGTAAGCAGAAGCCTCCATTTTCAATGGAGGTGACAGAGAAACAGTCTAGGATAAACAAAGCCATTGTTGCAGAGTGTGAGCATAAATCAGAAAATAAACAGTAAACAGAAAGACTAAACACACACACACACACCCCTGAAGCAGTAAACAGGATGAATAATTACACACACACACACCTGAAGCAGTAAACGGGATCTGTGAGCATAAATAAGAAAGACTAAAAACACACACACACACACACCTGAAGCAGTAAACAGTCTTTATTACACACACACACACCCCTGAAGCAGTAAACAGTAAAATGGAAGCAGTCAAGCAGTAAACTGTCCATTTGAAGCAGTAACAGAAAGAAGGGAAGAAGAAGGGAAGCAGTAAACCAAACATGTGTTCGATATAGAAGCAAATGGAAGCAATCAAGAGTTCGTGTTCGGTAGGGAAACACTAAGCCGGTTCCAACTCGTCTTCGTGATCCAACTCTCGTCTTCGTGTTCGATAATCGAGTGGGATTTCAGATTTGGGGGAAATGGGGAGCGGGATTGGGATTTCAGACGGGAGAGAAACGAGCGGGAAATGGAGATGGATTGGGAAGAAGTAACCTAATTTCTCTTGTTTGGGCCCCTTTTTAGAAGATTCAAATTTCCGATGGAAATTCCGTCGGTGTTCCGTCGGAAAAAGTATTTTTTAAAATAACTTTTAAAATAAATAAATAAATCCGTCGGAAATCCGTCGGAACATTTTTCAGAAGTACAAAATATTTTTATAAAATTTTCAACAGATCTTTATATTTAAAATAGATATTAAAGCCAATAGTATTTATTAAAATCCACTAAGATCTATCGAAAACCAAATAGTACCCTATAAAGCCCAATATATTCATTAAAGTCCACTAAAATTCATGAAGCCCAATTGTACCCAGTAAAGCCCAATTGTACCCGTTAAAGCCCAATAATACCCGTTAAAACTTAATTGAACCAAATATAGTACCCGTTAAAGCTCAATTGAATCAAATGTAGTACCCGATAAAGTCCACTAAGATCCATGATAGCCCAACAATACCCTTTAAGGCCCAGTTGTACCCAGTAAAGCCCAATAATCCATTAAAGTCTACTAAGATTCATTAAAGCCTATTAATACCCTTTAAAACTCAGTTGAACCGAATAAAACCTACTAATACCTGTTAAAGCCCAATAATATTTGTTAATGCCCAATTGAACCAAATAAAACCTATTAGCTCCATTAAAGCCAAGTTTAACCAAATAGTACTTGTTAAAATCCACTAAGATCCATTAAAGCTCAGTTGAACCAAATAAAGCTCAATAGATTCATTAAAGCCCAATTGAACCGAATAATACCTATTAGCTCCATTAAAGCCTAGTTGAACCAAATAGTACCTGTTAAAGTCCACTAAGATTCATTAAAGCCCAGTTGAACCGAATAAAGCTCAATAGATTCGTTAAAGCCCAATTGAACCGAATAAGACCTATTAGCTCCATTAAAACTTAGTTGAACCAAATAGTACATGTTAAAGTCCACTAAGATCCATTAAAGCCCAGTTGAACCGAATAAAGTCAATAGATTCATTAAAGCCCAATTGAACCGAATAAGACCTATTAGCTCATTAAAACCTAGTTGAACCAAATAGTACTTGTTAAAGTCCACTAAGATCCATTAAAGCCTAGTTGAACCGAATAAAGCTCAATATACCCGTTAATGCGCAATTGAACCGAATAAAGCCCAATAGTACCCGTTAAATCCTAATTGAACCCGTTAATACCCAATTCAACTGAGTAAGACCCAATAGCTCCATTAAAGCCTAATAGATCTATTAAAGTCCACTAAGATCCAATAAAGCCTAGTAATACCCCTCAAAACCCAGTTGAACCGAATACAACCTAATAATACCTGTTACAGCCCAATAATATCCGTTAATGCCCAATTAAAACAAATAAGACCTATTAGCTCCATTAAAGTCTAGTTGAACAAAATAGTACTTGTTAAAACCTAGTTGAACAAAATAGTACCGAATAAAGCTTAATAGTACCCGTTAAAGCCCGATTGACGAAATCAGACTCAATAGATCTATTAAAGCCCAATGCATTCATTAAACCCAATTGTACCAAATAAGGCCCAATTAGTACCTGTTAATGCCAAATTGAACCGAATAAGACCCAATAGCTCCATTAAAACCTATTTGAACCAAAAAAAATCCACTAAGATCCATTAAATTTCACCAAAACCCAATAATACATATAAAAGTCCAATTGAACCGAATAAAGCCAATAGATAAATTAAATGTAACTAAACATACGACTACTCTGTTGGTAATATTTAATAAAAAAGTTTATAACAACTTAAACTTGAAAAAAATTAAAATAAAAACATTTTTTCTTTTAACTTTTCCGACGGATTTTTGACGGAATTTAATTTTTTTAAATAAAAATTAAATTCCGTCGGAAATTTTAAAAGAAAAAATGTTTTTTTTTAATTTTTTTCCTAACAAGATATATATATATATATATATATATATATAAATTTTTAAATTTTCCGACGGATTTCTGACGAAATTTAATTTTTTAAAATAAAAATTAAATTCCATCGGAAATCCGTTGGAAATTTTAAAAGAAAAATGTTTTTTAAATTTTCCGACGGAATTTAATTTTTTTTAATAAAAATTAAATTCCGTCAGAAATCCGTCGGAAAATTTAAAAGAAAAAATGCTTTTTTTTAAAAATTTTTCCCTACCAAGATACATATACATACATATATATATATATACATACATATATATATATACATACATATATATATATATAAAGTTTAAATTTTCCGACGGAATTTAATTTTTATTTTATAAAAATTAAATTCCGTCGGAAACTTTAAAAGAAAAATGTTTTTAAATTTTTTTTTAAATTTTCCGACGGAATTTGATTTTGTTAAATAAAAATTAAACTCCGTCGGAAATCCGTCGAAAACTTTAAAAGGAAAAATGCTTTTTTTTTAATTTTTTCCCTACCAAGATACATATATATATATATATATATATATATATAAAGTTTTAAATTTTCCGACGGAATTTAAATTTTTTTTAAATAAAAATTAAATTCCGTCGGAAATCCGTCGGAAAATTTAGGAAAAATGTTTTTTTATTTTTTTCCTACCAAGATATATATATATATATATATATATAAAGGTTTAAAATTGCCGACGGATTTCCGACGGAAATTATAAAATATTTTTTAAATATTTTCCTAACAAGATATATATATATATATATATATATATATATATATATTAACGTTTAAACTTTCCGACGGAATTTAATTTTTTTTAAATAAAAATTAAATTCCGTCGGAAATCCGTCGGAAATTTTAAAAAATGTTTTTTAATTTTTTTTCCAAACAAGATATCTATATATACAGGTTTAAAATTTCACTAAATCTTATCAATATTTTATATTTGGAATGCAAATCAATATTAATTATTTTATTTGAAACGGTTGCATTTTAAAAATTAAAATTTAATTTTAAATTAAGAATTGACTAACATACCCTTTTAATTTGATTTTAATTGTATAATTAATATATTAAAATGATTGGTTGAGATTGGTTCTCACAGTTACCACAAACAACCCAGTTCTCCTTTGAATAGGCCCCTATATATATATATATATATATATATATATATACTTGGGATCATATGAGACCAATGTTTTTTCGTGAGACCCGTAAGACCAATTCTCAACCCTTGGATTATATCTATAATCTCAACATTCTCAATCACAAAATTTACCACGAGAGTTCTCAATAATTACAAAATTGTCACCGTGCAACTTTAAACCATTAGATCATTAGTTTATAAAGTTGATCAATGAACATAAATTGGTCTCACGGGTCTCACCAAAAACTCTCGGTCTCACGTGAACCCAACCCTATATATATATAGGGACAAGATCAAATGTTAACCAAAGTTTTTGTGTTAACTTTGCAAACCATGTCAACCAATCACAATCCATTCTTCTATTAGGTATCTATCATGTTCACAATTTAATGYCAAGGGTAATTGAGTCATTTCATTTGCTATGTAACTCCCATACCATTAAAGGGGAGTTRCAAAATCATAAAATTCCTAAAAATATACATTTATAATATTGATATTTTTATTTATTTTTTTATTCTTGATCTTCCATTTTTATTGTTTTATGAGTTTTTGATTCGTGGAGGAAACACGGTAGTAAAATATTCGGTATCGTTCAAGCTATTATGGATAAACACATTGAAAAAAAAAATCGACAGCATTGAGAATATTTAAATGGTTTATGGTGACAATCGGAGTTCGAGTTCGGGAAGTGAAGAAATTAACCAAAACGAATGTCTTGGTAATGGATTAATATTTTATTAAACTCGTTTTAATCGAAATTATGTTTGTTATGATGTGTTGTGTTTCTTGTAGTTCATATTGTGTGGATAACTTTTTTCTTTAATTATTAATACGTATCTAATTCACATGTTCAAATGGAAGTACATGCACGACTCATTTTCATATTGTCATATTACCGACTTGTATGAATCATAAACTATCGTTTTCATGTTACTTCTATCATATGAACACAAGTGTTATTCTTTAAGCTTGATACCAAATCTTTATATTTGTGTAAGTGTTTGCACCCGATGTTCATTCGTCGGGGTTTTGTGTTCATATATTTTATACGATATGAACAAGGGTGAACACGATATGAACAAGGGGTGAACAACCACATAAGACCAGAAACATATATGAACAAGKGGTGAACCTTAAACGGCGTGGATGCAATGCATGTATAAAACTCCAATTGACAAATGATCGCTCCTGGATATGTTTATAATGAAGGAACTTCACAACCTGTTCATACACAACCTGTTCATATCGTGTTCATACATGTTTTTTTTTATTTATTTCCTTTCGTATAGCAGTTATTCTTATTATGTTCATATTGTGTTCATAAATGATATGCAGCCAAAGTTCATATATATGTCGATTTTTTGTTCGTATTTGACACAATGGTTCATATGTATATAGTTGTGTTCATATGTATATAGTTGTGTTCATATGGTTTTACATTAACAAAAATCATAGAATTTTTTGATTTTGCAACTCCCAATTAATGATATGGGAGTTACATAAAAAAATTACCTAAATACCCTTTTCAACTTTGTT